CTCGAAGAAAAGGAAAACCCGCGAAAAAGAAGACCACCGCAAAACGTACTGAACCGCAGAACCGCACGATTATTGTTGAAATAAACTTGCAACATGGATAGTGTACCACAACCGCAAAATGTAACCAATTCACCACAACTTCCACCATGCCCTACATGTGCGACTACCATACATCTTACAACATTCCCGACGCAATTGGAAGTAGTACCTCTTTCCGAGTGAAGCCTTTTGGAATGGTACGGAATGTCCTGTGAGGTGTTGTCCATTTTGGAAAAGACACTGACAATGCATTATTAACTTTTACTTTCACTTTCATTTTAAAGTTGTCAAATCAATTATTGTGACGTTACGTCTTGTTAACCTTTGTAACCCCATATGCACCGCATTTTATGTACTTCAGTATTTGTTTTCTATGTTTAAATTGTCCTGAAGACGCCACCGTAAGTGGCGAAACATGTAGACTCAATAAAACTATCACCTTGCGGTAACCCAGATGTTGTTGTCTCTACATATTATATTTCCATGAGGTTTTAAGACAACCGCAGCATACTTCGGTATCCATCTTGGTTACTCTACCAGCTTTTCCGTTAGAAGGTGTTGGTTCACTCGTCACAAATTATTTATTTTTCTGTGAACCCCTGCATCCGCACACGATCCACCTTAGCCGTCCTGCGTTGTAGTTACAACCGTCAGCCTCATGTCTACCGACCAGTTCCATTCTACCACCAACCTCACTGAAGAAACCGCCCATACCTCGAAGAAAAGGAAAACCCGCGAAAAAGAAGACCACTGCAAAACGTACTGAACCGCAGAACCGCACGATTATTGTTGAAATAAACTTGCAACATGGATAGTGTACCACAACCGCAAAATGTAACCAATTCACCACAACTTCCACCATGCCCTACATGTGCGACTACCATACATCTTACAACATTCCCGACGCAATTGGAAGTAGTACCTCTTTCCGAGTGAAGCCTTTTGGAATGGTACGGAATGTCCTGTGAGGTGTTGTCCATTTTGGAAAAGACACTGACAATGCATTATTAACTTTTACTTTCACTTTCATTTTAAAGTTGTCAAATCAATTATTGTGACGTTACGTCTTGTTAACCTTTGTAACCCCATATGCACCGCATTTTATGTACTTCAGTATTTGTTTTCTATGTTTAAATTGTCCTGAAGACGCCACCGTAAGTGGCGAAACATGTAGACTCAATAAAACTATCACATTGCGGTAACCCAGATGTTGTTGTCTCTACATATTATATTTCCATGAGGTTTTAAGACAACCGCAGCATACTTCGGTATCCATCTTGGTTACTCTACCAGCTTTTCCGTTAGAAGGTGTTGGTTCACTCGTCACAAATAATATTTTAAGAGTTGAAAAATTAATTAAGGATAAATCCTGCAAACAAAAAAGTATAAAATTTCTACGGCTTGATGCTATTTATATATTATATTTAAAAAGAAATTAAATTATCTGAAAATGTTTTATAACTTTTACAAATATATGATACGAAATAGTAAACTTGTTTTTAGTCCATGAGGTACGAAATGGTAGATGCATTTGAACCACAGGGTACGAAATGGTTTTTATCGTGTACGAAATGGTAAAAGTTGGGTACGAAATTGCAATTTTGGGTACGAAATGGCAGAGGTACGAAATGACTTGCTACCATTTCAATGAAAATTTAAGGCAAACACACTTTGAAGAAAATGCAAAAATTATAAAATCTAATTTTTACAGCAACAGTTATGAAATAGCGTTCTCCCACAGGACAATATTTTATAGCAGTTGATATTGAATTATGTCCTCCAAGGGAAGTAATACAAAAGTCATCAAATCTGATTAGGTACAGGCACAAAAGAATGTGATGGAGTTAAACATTATTTCATAGGGGACATTATTAAATCCTACATTATCACATTTTTAGCTCACCGGGGCCCAAAGGGCCCCATGTGAGCTTATGCCATCACTTGGCGTCCGTCGTCGTCCTTCGTCTGTTGTCATCGTCTGTTGTTATCTGTCGTCGTAAACTATTTCACAAATCTTCTCCTCTGAAACTACTGGGCCAAATACCTTCAAACTTTAACTAAATGTTCCTTAGGGTATCTAGTTTATAAATTGTATCCGAAGTTTGTATCCATCGACAAACATTGCCGCCATGGCTAAAAATGGAACACAAGGGTCAAATGCAGTTTTTGGCTTATATCTCAAAAACTAAATCTTTTAGAGCAAATGTGACATGGGGTAAAATTGTTGAATTGGTCAAGATCTATCGGCCCTGAAATTATCAGACGAATGGAACAACCCATTGTTGGGTTGCTGCCACCAAATTGGTAGTTTTAACAAAATTTTGCAGTTTTTTGTTATTATTTTGAATATTATTATAGATATATATATAAACTGTAAGCAGCAATAATGTTCAGCAAAGTAAGATCTACAAAAAAGTTAACATGACCAAAATTGTCAATTGACCCCTTAAGGAGTTATTGCCCTTTAAAGACAATTTTACACAATTTGTTCATCAAGTTTGTTAACATTTAAAAATCTTCTCCTCTGAAATACAGGTGAGCAATTCAGGCTCTTGAGAGCCTCTTGTCTGTTCAAGGACCAAATTTAATGGTAAAAAGTGTCCAGTTATAATGTGAACACTTTTTCACAGCTTAGGACATTTTTTCATTGGTAAAATGTGTCTGCGACACATTAAAATAAGTAAATATTGTCCATGGACAGTATCTATGAAAAAAATGTCCAGCGGACACTATCTCATGAAGGACATTATTAAATCCTACAAGTTTAATCTTATTAGTAAGTTGTGATATTGCTTATCAAATAAAAATATTTTGATATTAATAATAATCTCAATTGTAATCAATCATATTGGCAGATATTTTAAAAAATGTAAGAAAGCAGCTGATGGGTCATAATCAACTATTACCAAGAATTCAAGTTGAGTAAACAAGAAACAACCTCAAAACCTTGATCATAAAAATTACCAGTCAAAACACACAAAAATAATCAATTCTAACCATGAAGAAATTAAGGCAGTATTTTTCCTAGCCTAGCCAAACATTAATTTAAATTTTGTGAAGAAATGAAAACTTGAAAAAAATAACATGCATAAAAACAAAAATTGCAGGCCAACCTATATGAAATTTTTGTGATTAATTTTTTATTATCGAAATTTTCAGAGTAGGTTAGACTATAAAACTATACAGAAACTGGAAACAGGATAACAATAAATATACATCGACCTGTTGTTACACTGACATATTGTGTGTTCTCATTCAGCTATGTGTCAATAATTATACATATATACTTGACAACCACATCAGCATTGAGTAGTTGAATGGATCTGAAAATTATTATGATCTTTATTAAAGAATTGTCAGTCACAAAAACTATCCATATTCATGCGTAAATTGCATAACATGTGATTCTGTTTTCACCAGCTTCTTTTTCTTTATGAGGGTTGTAAAGAAATCAAGCAATGTCGATTTTCTTTTTGCTTGTTTACTTGTCATCTTGGGTCAACATGTGTTTTCTCTCTGTGACAAAAGGGCGCTTTACTAAGATGTAGAATTATCCTTTTATAAAGTGCACAAATGAGCGCATTTAAAATCATTTCGGATGTCTCATTCCTTATCCATCTTCGTAACGTTGTCAAGAATCTATAAATATATTATAACGCAGACCTCGACGAGAACACCTTTATAGAAACAAAGCGCAAGCAAAGACAAAAGTCAATTTCAATCGGTAACAACTTGTTTTACGCAATGATAGCACAGTTTTATGTATTTTATTTTTATTTGAAAACACAATTTGAACTGGCGATTTCATTAATTTGAAACGGGAAAATTCGCCTGGTGCCGGTGTCATATGGTATTTTGAACCCCATGGTAAATTGACCCCTGGGTCAAAATACCGCTATGGTAAATTGAACCCCCCCATGGTAAATTGAACCCCCTCTGTATTGAAAATTGAACCCCCATGGTAAATTGAACCCCCCTGTTTTTTTCATTCTAGATGATTATTAGAACATTATACATTATTCTAAAGCTTATCATAGATTAAAAATCATTCATACAAGATGGGGAGGTCAATTTTCCATGATTGGTTAAAAGAAATATCTTTGCTTGGTATAAGTGCTCTGAAGTCTTTACCAACAAAATTTAATTCAAAATACTTATTGAAGCATTATAACTAGACCATGTAGCTTGAATGCTTTAATTATTTGAAATTAAAACATATATATATATATATATATATATATATATATATATATATATATATATACAGGTAGTTTTAATTTCCCATGGTAAAAAAGGGGGAGGGGGTCAAATTACCATGGCTCAGTTTAATTCAAAAAGTAAAACTTTCAAAACATCTTTTCCAGTATGGCAAAATACATACAAACTACTTATTGGATTATTATTACTATGTAAAAGAGTTAGAATAGATAGAATTTTTGAAATTGGAGGTGTAAAAAGAGGGGGGGGGGGGGTCAATATCCCATGGCAGGGTTGTCAAAATACAGTGGCTAAATAAAATTTTCAAATCATCTTTTCAAGCAAGTAAAATACACACAAACTGCTTATTGGTTTATTATAACTATATACAAGAGTTGGAATTGCTAGAATTTTTAAAGGCAGTGCTTTAATGCCTTTCTAGTTGCCGTGTTAATATTTCTTTCCGCGATATCCAACTTATCTACGTGGGGGGTCATTTAGCTCCAAGTAGATCCGGAAAATGTTGATTCTCTCCTCTTCTTATTGTGGTATAAAATGTTTTTTGTCTCATTTCATTTACATTGGGAAATAGAGAAACGATCATTGTGTTTTGTTAGTTTTAAAAACTTTTGATATATTTGTATTTTACACTATAAGCAGTCAACCGATTGACAAACTAGAATTATTTGAATTCCGTGTGGAAAGAGGTCGGGTTAATTTCGAGTGTTATCTGCAATCTAGATGTTTATAAATCATTTCAGTCGTTGATATAATAATTAAAGGTCGACTGAACATGAATTATATTATACAATTTAAAGCGCATTTCTGTTTATGCACGCGAACCCGTTTAACGTTATTGTTATTTCGCAGTTATATAAAGTAGCAAATTATCGTTCCTGAATAGGTGGCGCCGTGGTAGCAGATCCTGTACTTCAATTTCCGGTTTCTGCACTGTGCAACTATTACAGTTGCATTTTTAATTAACGATGCCAAGTACTTGTTGTTGTGTACCTGGATGTCATTTAAGAGGAGGACATGCATTTCCAAATGACTTAAAAAGAAGGAAAAGTTGGATCAACGCCATGGCCCATACGCAGATTGGACGAGAACACGATGAAATCGTGGAGTCCATCTCAATCAGCTGTTGTTTGCAAGGCACATTTTACTGAAAAAGACTACGTGCAGGAAACTATTCATGGTAAAACTCTATTTTCTTTTTAAAATATATAGTTATATATGTAATCGCCATGCGAATAAACCAAAGTCAGTTTACAACCGCAATTATCGTTTTAGAATAAAAGGGGGTGGTTAATTCAAGACGTCATAATTTTTTGGATTACGATTCAATGTGATCTGTTTGAGATTTTTTGGTGCTTGCTACAATTATAATGATTTCTTACAAGAGGTATATCATACTGAGAATTATTTTAGCAGTAATTATGCTTATGTAGTAATGACAGGAATGCATAAGCTATGCCTCATAGACTTTCTTGAAAAATATCAATGACAATGTTAACAGGAACAAAACAATGACATGCTCTCATCTATATTATAGTTATTTAGGTACAAACAATGTATGTTTGTTGCATACGTCTCTCATTGTTTGTCCTTTGGATTTTCATAACATACATTTTGATGTACATTGAATCAGGCTAACATAGTTTTATCCAGATTGTAATGAATAAATCTAGTTAATATTTTGCCAGGTTACGAGTACAAAGGAATTATAGTTATCTCGTACCATTGTAACTCGTACCAATGTCAACTCGTACCACTAAACAAAAACTCGTTCCAATGCAAACTCGTACCACTGCTAACTCGTACCACGGTAAATTCATACCATTGTAAACTCGTACCAACTTATTTAAATGCATTCAAATGGTGTTTAATGATGAATATATACTTTAATTTCACTCAATACCTCTCAAGTCTGTAAAATGTATATAATTTGAAATTACAATAACCAATTTGTAGCTAATTTTCCTTGTCTAATTGGATAGAGAAAACCGTGGCAGATTGGCTTTGTTGTCTCCCTTGAATAGACTCTTTTTTAAACTTTTACTGACAACTATTTGATTTAATTTTTAATCATTCCAAATCAGTAACATTGAATAGATTTGGGTATTTTTCTATCGTTTCTAAAAGGAATTTTGTTTAATGAAAGAATTTATTGATTGTGTTTTAAAGGTTTAAAATTGTTTATGACCAACAGTTAGAAAGTATGAAATTTATTTTTATACAATATTCAGCACATTTCAGCAGAATATGACCATGCTTATATGATTATACAAGTTGATTAGTTAAAGATAAAAAAAACCAAGTTGATTAGTTAATAATCAACCAATAATCACACAATCAAAGGAATTTAATATATTTATTAGCATGGTAATTAAGAAATTACATTTGTATTTTTGTCTAAGTTTTCATTAAAATCTGGTATAAATTTCAAAGATATTTTAATTTTTTGTATAAAGCTTAAAAAAAAAAATAATCATAAAACATCCGTATTTTTGTTTAAGTTTTCATTAAAATCTAGTATAAAATTCAAGTAATTCAACTTTTTTTATTTAGTTTACCAAAAAAAAAATCATAAAACTTTTGTATTTTTGAATATATTTTTAATGGTACGAGTTCTGATTGGTACGACTTCCCAGTGGTACAAGTTTACGTTGGTACGAGTTTACGTGGTACGAGTTTACAATGGTACGAGTTAACTTGCTTCTGTACAAAGTATGCATTGCTAATGGAAGTTCATTTAATTATCAAAAAACTAATGTTTTATAACCTTTTTCAGGGCACAAACCCACCATACAGAGACTTAAGTCTACTGCCAATCCCAGCCTATTTTCCTGGACCAAGCAAGAGACTGAATCGTCCGCAAAAAGAAAAATCAGGGCAGTTTCCTGTGAAAACAAAAGAACTAAACTTGATGAATATTGTAGTAGAAATCTAGAGGAAAGTTTTGATTGTAAAGTTGGTTTTCCTGAAGAAGGAATTCATACTGCAGACAGGATTTATGACTGTCCACCACCAACTGCCGAGCTAATGTTGAGCTTCACAGATGGAATTACGCAAACACCATCAATGCCTATATTTTCAGCAGAGAATTTTGAAATGAAGACACGTGACACAGCCATGCATTTTTATACCGGTTTAGAGTTGTATACTAAATTTTTATTTGTTTTGACCACACTTGGTCCAACAGCACATTGTTTGAGATACATATATTTTCAAATTGATAGGGTGTCATTTGAAAATCAGTTTTTTTATGACTTTGATGAAATTGATGCATTATACAACCAACTTTGAACTGTCTAGATTCTAGATTGAAACTAGTGTTAAGAATATTGTGTAAACATGGATTGTTTTTATGTCTAAACAGTGGCGTGAGGCTAACACTTGGCCATTTAGTGGTTTAGTCAGGTATTTTTCGCCATCCAACTTAGAATTAAAGTTTCCTACAACTTGGATTATTATTGACAGCACAGAATATCCCGTGATAAAACCTAAAGCTCCTAGAGCTCAGGCAACCTTTCATCATATAAAAACAGAAACACTGAAAATACTTGTATGTTCGACACCTGGTGGTTTAGTCAACTATGTCTCTAATGCATATGTTGGTTGTACCAGTGACTGTGAAATAGTTGAAAGATGTAGAATAGTTCAATTATGTGATCCAGGTGACAGTGTGATGGCAGACAAAAGTTTAAATGTGCAAGATTTGTTTGCTCACTTTTTTCAAAAAAAGAAACAGAATTAGTTCCAAAACTCTTATACGGGATAGAAAAGTCTCCAATTAACACATGCACATAGAGCTAATTATTGGACTTGGCAAAACATACAAAATTCTAATAAATCCTATGAATGGAACTGAAACAAAACTTTCATCTGAAATAACATTTAGTTGTTATATGTTGTGTAATTTTAGAACTTGTATTGTGCCAAAGGATGCATAAATAAAAGTGACGCAATGAAGTTTGTTCTGATATATATATATAAATATTATTTACAATTACATGCACATGTAAATTGTAATGCATATAAAAATAAGGAGATGTGGTATGATATTCAGTGAGTTTATCGAACCAAAGTGCATAAGAAATGGGTTAAGCAGTTACAGGTGTTACTGTCACCATACAATCTCCAACAATTAGAAAAACTTGTACCGTGTAAAAAATTTCAGAGATCTTACAACTAAGTTTTGTTGTCTCACCTTGACTTTGGTGAATTGTTTATATCTGTTGATGTAAATATAAAAAAGAAGATGTGGTATGATTGCCAATGAGACAACTCTCCACAAGAGACCAAATGACACAGAAATTAACAGCTATAGGTCACAGTACGGCCTTCAACAATGAGCAAAGCACATACCGCACAGTGAGCTATAAAAGGCCCCGAAATGACAATGTAAAACAATTCAAACAAGAAAACTAACGGCCTAATTTATGAACAAAAAATGAACGAATAACAAATATGCAACACATAAACAAACGACAACCACTGAATTACAGGCTCCTGACTTGGGACAGGCACATACATGTACATACAGAATGTGGCGGGGTTAAACATGTTCGCGGGATCCCAACCCACCCCCTAACCTGGGACAGTGGTGTAACAGTACAATATAAGAGCGAACTATAAAAATCAGTTGAAAGAGGCTTAACTCATCAGATGGATAAATACAAATACAAGTGGACGTGGCCGGGTAGTTGTACATCCAAACAACAAAAAGACACTAAGTACAGATCTGAGAGTACTCGCATTTACTGACAGCTAGTTCAAAGCCACAAACAACTGATAAAAAAATCTTGCATCTAAGACTAAATTATCAATCCGTAAGCTCCCTTTAGAATTTTATAAATTTTAGATTTTACATTATTGAGTTATGGGCTTTTATTCATTAAAAAGGGGGGGGATTTTCCAGTTTTTGGACAACAACTCAAAAATGCTTTAAGCAGTTCGCATGAAACTTTGGTGAATTATTTATAGCTATTGATGTAATCTCCCTATTGATTTTCATAAATTTCAAATATGACATTGAGAAGAAATTGAACTTTATTTGTTTATAGTCTGGCAACAGATTTATTAAGTATTGCGCAACAGCACAGTGTATTGCACAACAGCAAGAAATCTTTAATTGAATATAAATTCAATTCATATAACCGATTTCAAGTTCTTTGACTACATTTATTCAGAAACTATAATATGTCAAATATTTAATTACAATCCAAATTCAGACCTGTATCAAGCTTGAATATTGTGTCCATTTTTGCCCCAACTGTTCAGGGTTGGACCTCTGTGGGTGTATCCAGCTGCGCTCAGCGAATCAGTTTATTACTTAATTAAGAACTCCTTTTTGTTGAGCCTGCGACTTTTGTCGCAGAAAGCTCGACATAGGGATAGTGATCCAGCGGCAGCGTTAGCTAACTTCTTAAAAGCTTTATATTTTAGAAGGTGGAAGGTCTGGATGCTTCATACTTTGTATTTGGATGCCTCATGTTACGAAGTTTCCGTCAGTCACATGTCCAATGTCCTTGACCTCATTTTCATGGTTCAGTGACTACTTGAAAAAAAAGTTAAGATTTTTTGTAATGTTGAATTCTCTCTTATTATAAGTAATAGGATAACTATATTTGGTATGTGCATACCTTGTAAGGTCCTCATGCCCGTCAGACAGTTTTCACTTAACCTCGACCTCATTTCATGGATCAGTGAACAAGGTTAAGTTTTGGTCTGTTTTTCTTATACTGTATGCAATAGGTCTACTATATTTGGTGTATGGAATGATTGTAAGGTGTACATGTCTAGCTGGCAGGTGTCATCTGACCTTGACCTCATTTTCACGGTTCAGTGGTCAAAGTTAAGTTTTTGAGTTTTGTCTTTTTTTCTAATACTATATGCAATAGTTCAACTATATTTGGTGTATGGAAATATTTTATGATCTATATGTTAGTCACACAGGTTTTTTTTTACCTTGACCTCATTTTCAAGGTTCATTGCTCAGTTTTAAGTTTTTGTGTTTTGGTCTGTTTTTCTTAAACTATAAGCAATAGGTCAACTATATTTGTTGTATGGAAGAATTGTTAGCTGTACATGCCTGCCTAGCATGGTTCATCTGACCTTGACCTCATTTTCTTGGTTCATTGGTCAATGTTTAGTTTACTTGGTTAATGTTAAGTTTATGTGACAGTTGTAATAAAGCTTTATATTTAGGACTATCAACATAATATCAATGACTAGTAAAGAAGGCGAGACATTTCAGCGTGTGCACTCTTGTTTCATTCATAAATTACTTTATACTTGGAAATATAATTTTGCTTGGAGTTATAGTTTCTAAAAAAAGTATTGTCATTGAAAGAGTTGACATGTTGCAATGTACATTTATTCTACATAGTTCTATGGTACCAAATCAAAAGTTTATATTAAAGAAAGAAGTCAAAGGTTTCCCATCATAGTTTAGTTACATACATTTTTTTTGTACCTGAGGTCGTTGAATATAGATCATTATATAAATAAGGAGATGTGTTATGATTGCCAATGAAACAACTATCATCCATACATTGTACTTACCAGTAACAAACCACATTTGCAAAGTTGAATAAAATACAGTTGATAACATTTACTTATTACTTAAAAGAAAATGCCAAACTATTTTAAACAGTATTTGACTACAAACATAGATAAAAAAGGTACAAACTGGACATAATGCACTAGTTCATAAACAAGTGAGAACAATCGCCTTCATATAGTGCTCAGAATATGACATTCATAAAACTTGTTCAATATCATTAGAGAACTCTAAATCTTAAATACTGAAAGCCACCTCTGATAAGTACAATGTACTATGCAAGATAATGATATAACTGGACTAAAAATACACACAACCTGTAATTAACTGCCTTTACAGCGCTTTCGCGCTTTGATTGAAATTAAAGGTCTATAGTAGGGAGTTCAATATACCATGGCAGGGGGGGGTCAAAATACCATGGCAAAGTAAAATTTTCAAACTATCTTTTCCAGCAAGTTAAATACATACAAACTACATGTTGGAGTACTATTACTATATACAAGAGTTAGAATTGCCAGAACTTTTGAAACTTAAGGTCTATAGTAGGGGGGTCAAAATACCATGGCAGAGTAAAATTTTCAAAATATCTTTTCCAGCAAGTTAAATACATACAAACTACTTATTGAAGTATTATAACTATGTAACAGAGATAGAATAGCTAGAATTTTTGAAATTGGAGGTGTTAAAGGGTGGGGGTGTTCAATATACCATGGCAGGGGGGTCAAAATACCACGGCTAAATTAAATTTTCAAAACATCTTTTCCAGCAAGTTGAATACATGCAAACTACTTATTGGAGTATTATAACTATATACAAGAGTTAGAATTGCTAGAATTTTTGAAGTTCAAGGTGTAAAAGGAGGGGTTCAATATACCATGGCAGGGTTGTCAAAATACTGTGGCTAAATAAAATTTTCAAAACATATTTTCAAGCAAGTAAAATACATACAAACTGCTTAATGGAGTATTATAACTATACACAAGAGTTAGAATTGTTAGAATTTTTGAAATTAAAGGTCTATAGTATGGGGGTTCAATATACCATGGCAGGGGGGTCAAAATACCATGGCAAAGTAAAATTTTCAAAATATCTTTTCCAGCAAGTTAAATACATACAAACTACTTATTGAAGTATTATTACTATGAAACAGAGAAAGAATAGCTAGAATTTTTGAAATTGGAGGTGTAAAAAGGGGGGGGGGGTTCAATATACCATGGCAGGGGGGTCAACATACCTTGGCTTAATAAAATTTTCAAAACATCTTTTCTAGCATGGCAAAATACATACAAACTACTTATTGGAGTATTATTACTATGTAACAGAGTTAGAATAGCTAGAATTTTTCAAATTGGAGGTGTAAAAGGTGGGGGGGGGGGTCAATATCCCATGGCAGGTTTGTCAAAATACCATGGCTAGATAAAATTTTCAAAACATATTTTCAAGCAAGTAAAATACATACAAACTGCTTATTGGAGTATTATAACTATACACAAGAGTTAGAATTGTTAGAATTTTTGAAATTAAAGGTCTATAGTAGGGGGTTCAATATATCATGGCAGGGGGGTCAAAATACCATGGCAAAGTAAAATTTGCAAAATATCTTTTCCAGCAAGTTAAATACATACAAACTACATATTGAAGTATAATAACTATATACAAGAGTTAGAATTGCCAGAACTTTCGAAACTAAAGGTCTATAGTAGGGGGTTCAATATACTATGGTAGGGGGTCAAAATACCATGGCAAAGTAAAATTTTCAAAATATTTTTTCCAGCAAGTTAAATACATACAAACTACATATTGAAGTATTATAACTATATTCAAAAGTTAGAATTGCCAGAACTTTCCAAACTAAAGGTCTATAGTAGGGGGTTCAATATACCTTGGCAGGGGGTCAAAATACCACGGAAAAGTAAAATTTTCAAAATATCTTTTCCAGCAAGTTCAAATGTTACTTTGCTATGGTATTTTGACCCCCTGCCATGGTATATTGAACCCCCTCCTATAGACCTTTAAATTAAAAAAATCCAGCTGTTATAACTCCTTTACATAGTAATAATACTTCAATAAGTAGTTTGTATGTATTTAACTTGCTGGAAAAGATATTTTGAAAATTTTACTTTGCCATGGTATTTTGACCCCCCTGCCATGGTATATTGACACACCCCCCCCTTTTACACCTCAAATTTCAAAATTCTAGTTATTATAACTCATTTACATAGTAATAATACTTCAATAAGTAGTTTGTATGTATTTAACATGCTGGAAAAGATATTTTGAAAATTTTACTTTGCCATGGTATTTTGACCCCCCTGTCATGGTATATTGAACCTTTTTACACCTCCAATTTCAAAATTCTAGCTATTATAACTCCTTTACATAGTAACTATACTCCAATAAGTAGTTTGTATGTATTTTACATGCATGAAAAGATAATTTGAAAATTTTACTTTGCCATGGTATTTTGACTCCCCTGTCATGGTATATTGACCCCCCCTTTTTACACCTCAAATTTCTAAATTCTAGCCCCTGTTACTCCTTTACATAGTTATTATACTCCAATAAGTAGTTTGTATGTATTTTACTTGTTTGAAAAGATGTTTTGAAAATTTTATATAGCCATGGTATTTTGACCCTCCTGCCATGGTATATTGAACCCCCCTTTTATACCTCCAATTTAAAAATTCTAGTTATTATAACTCTTTTTCATTGTTATTATTCTCAAATAAGTAGTTTGTATGTATTCTACTTGCTTGAAAAGATGTTTTGAAAATTTTATTTAGCCATGGTATTTTGACCCCTGTCATGGTATATTGACCCCCTCCCCCCCTTTTACACCTCCAATTTCAAAATTCTATCTATTATAACTCCTTTACATAATAGCTTTACTCCAATAGGTAGATTGTAAGTATTTTAGATGCATGAAAAGATATTTTGAAAATTTTACTTTACTATGGTATTTTGACCCCCCTAACATGGTATATTGAACCCCCTACTAACGACCTTTAAATTTAAAAATTCTTGCTGTTATAACTCTTTTACATAGAAATTATACTCCAATAAGTAGTTGGTATGTATTTTACTTGCTTGAAAAGATGTTTTGAAAATTTTATTTAGCCATGGTATTTTGACCCCCCTGCCATGGTACATTGACCCCTCCCCCTTTTTACACCTCAAATATGTAAAATTATGGCCCATGTTACTCCTTTACATAGTTATTATACTCCAATAAGTAGTTTGTATGTATTTTACATGCATGAAAAGATATTTTGAAAATTTTACTTTGCAATGGTATTTTGACCCCCCTGCCATGGTATATTGAACCCCCTACTATAGAC